GAATGATAAATATCAATTTACCAAAGGTACCAGCTGCAAAAGGCAGGAGATAAGTCTTAAGTGAAAAGGAAAATTGTACACACACTCTTCCTAAATTGTGAATACTTAAGCAATGGCACCACAAGGACTTCTCAGTACCACTTAAAAGAGGGGCATAAAGGTTCACATGACAGTATTATTTCTATTTTTAAGAATTTTAACTTCACACTCAAATATTCTGCTGAGATTTTCAACTTAACTGAATACCAAAAGGAAATTCATCATTACCACAGTGAGATTAAGTATCTTAAATTAGCACTATGTGCTAATTTTGAAGGTTTCATATTTGCTGTTGTCAATAAGAATTATTCCATTTTGCTATGCGTATTTTTACTAACCAGGCCAGCTCCAGAGAGTCAAAAGGTGCAACGCTTTTCTGGATCAAACTGATTTAGCAATTAACTTCCTAATCTGCAGAGTCCCATCACATGAAGCAGCTTTTCTGCTCTGATAGCTACAATGTATATGCTAAACTGTAATACCATGAATTATTTTTCACATTCAGACTCAGCCTTAACATTACACAAAGAACAGCCAGGTGTGTAACATGTTCCCACTCTTTAACAGAACCTGAAGCAAAGAACAGCACTGAGGATGAAATAAAACAAATAAGAGAAGAGCGTTATTTGCTAATACAAATAATGTATGCTGGAATTTTTCCTACTATTCAATGCCCAGTATCAAGACTATTACCAAAGAGAATTTTTATTAAATTATTATAAAGGAATGAAGTTTCTAAAACCAAATTCTTTCTAATACTGTTACTAAAAGTCTATCATCAGATTGTAAGTGTAGTAATTTAATTAAATGTCTATTAAGAAAACCAACACATTTAACGTTCTCACACCACAACTAACTACTTCTGTAAGTAATAAGCTATAGCTAAACCAGAAGATGGTAACAAGATATTGGAACTAGTGGCTGAATACCATTTCCACAGTTAGAATAATGGTGCCTTCTGACTTGAAGCTACAACAGCTCCTCCACCATAGCAACCAAATTAGCTCTCAGAGAATGAAGCCCACAAAAAATGCTATGGCTATTACATAAGTGAACAGAATGTTTTTACATTTCTGAATTTGTGTTTATTGTAATACTTAAAATTATAAAAGTTTCAGACTATGGGCCGCAGGCTTTGAGGGCAGACATGCTTTAAAACTCTCACTAAACTGTAAGAGCTTCTTAAAGTCTGTTTTCCACTGTGCTTTGGATGACAAGAAATGGAAAGAATAAGATCCTGCTGCAGCTGTATATCTAGGGTATCTGTATGCTAAAATAAGTCTTGTCTATTATACCAGGTCTTCATAAGATGAATTTTTTCATGTTCAGAATAGATACTTCATGGACATATAATACATACATTTTAATTACTCTGTATTGAAAAGTATTTTTCAAACATATAGGAATTATTTTCTATTTTTCAAACTTTTCAGAAGAATATACATACAATTTGTTGGAATAAAACTACAAAGATGCTAGGCCAAATTAAAAAAGAACAAGAAAAGACCTTAAAACAAGCCTTAGGTAGACTTCAGGTGTCAAAGCCCAAGGCAGTGGCTTAAAACTCTCAACTAAGAAGCCGGTCAAACATGAAGGCTCCAACTTTCCAGATACTTGTGACTCTGCTTTTGTCTGTAACCAAGATCACCACCAGCACAAGTAACTTCTAAAAGGCAATGAAATCAAAGATCTAAGTTGAGTTAAAACACCTTCCATTAGTTAGAACATTTAGCTATGCTTAAAACACAGGAGAAGGAACAAGCAGTGGTACCAGCCTGTCACCTACAGGGGCTAAACCAATCACACAAGCAGTGAGGAAAGCAAGCTCTATGCTCTTCTCCATGTGAGGGGACTATAAGGCCTTTCTCCTACCCTTCAGGGTAATATCCTAGACTTCAAGATACACGGCTAAGAACAGAGATACCTCTAGTAATGTCTCTATTAAGAAAGGCAAGAAGAATTGCAAACAAGAAGTTGCAACTCTTGTGACAAGTACTAACAAAAGTGTCCCAAAGGTGACAACAGAGTCATCTCAGGAACCTGTGATGTACCCATTAATATAATGTTTTTTTTAGCATTAAGAAAAGACAAAAAACCCACAACAACAACAAAGAAACCCCACCACAACACCACAAACAAAACAAAAGAATCAGAATTGGAACCCAGGGGTACACTACCCTTGCCTAGTTGCTAGGCTAGTATATAAAAAGGAAGTGTGGCGACCTACTTAAAGAAAAAATAAATCCAAGTTACCTTTTCAAGTTTTGTTCTGGTTTGTTTGTTTTGGTTTGGTTTTTTTACAATACCTGTCAATGTCTATCCTTTAAGAAGCTCTAGACTAAAATATATGGAGAGTCATCTCTTGCAGCTTTGGTGCAACCACCTAAAATTCCATAAAGGTTATAGTGTCCACAGTGGCAAGTAAATGGAAATATTCCTGATACATTATGTTGCAGGGCGACAGTCATGTATAAGCTTTTATACTCCTTAGTTTTGTGAAAGACTTTCTATTGTACTAATTAAAACTGACTTGTATGCACAACCTGCAGCTATGAAGTACTTCCAAGAAGAATATGCACATTCAGGGCTCAACAACACAGGAGATGCGGATTAAAAGGTGACTATTAACATATACCAGAGAACTGGTTTGGTTTTGTTGTTTTTTTGTTTGGTTTTTTTTCCCCTTTCATTTATATCTTAATAGAAGTCCTCTGTTATGGTAGTGAGAAACTGAGAAACCATTTCTCAGTAAATCAGTCCCTAGATATGCCTTCCTACCTCACATGCTGAAGTATTTCTTCTGGATACCAATAATTAATCATGGTCAGCAACAGTATCCTATCGCAGGGTGAGCACTGTTTTGAGCTGCAGAAAGATCTGCTTTGTCCAAAGAGCTGTAGTTGTTTCTCAGATATAAAACTGTCAAAGATACTTGAAAATTTTCTAAATAAGTAAGTCACCACAATCTAACAAAACACATGTAAGTTGCATAATCAAACAAAAGACACAAAATAAAACATCACAAATCCTTTTAATAGATATTTATATCTAACATTTACATCCACAACAGTTATCTTTTGCTGTTCCTTTCTGCTGTCTCCATTTAATGTGTATCCTTCTAAGCAGATTCATTACTCTGTGCCTAAAAACCATGTGGATTTCGTGCTACTAAACATTTACTACACCTTTCACACAACTTCTGTGCTTGACCATCAACAAGAATAAATTTAGACAGTAAACTTTTTAGGATGCAAACTACCTACTGTATTTATACAGTAGTCAGAATGACAGTGTCTTATATTTGTTTAGCCCTTAAGTACTACCACAATTAACATGATTAACAGAAATAAGCAAGAAAGATACAGGTGAATATTCACTGTTATCAACAAACCTCTGAGAGCATTTCATATTGGCCTCTTCTTCCCAGGGCTATAGTAAGTAAATCGTAGACTACAGATGCACTTTGCAAACTGATGATACGATCATTTTTATGTTCTGGTATCCTGCTCAGCACAGCATCACGGTTAGCCTGAAACATACCACAAAAAATGGAACAAAGTCAGCCACTATAATCCAGCCTATGTTTTTCCTCTAGTTAATTACCAATTTGTTCAGACTGACAGTCAGCGGCTGATAGAGGTGAAACAGAGAGAGAGTATCTGCTATTAACATAGCAAGAATCACTGATTTTATACATGTGTCAAGATTTATGTTTCTATATGGATCTTTTTTAATTACTTCATTCTAACTACATAAATTAGGTAATGTATTTAAAATTACGGAATAGTTCTCAGAAACCGAATAAGGTGGGTTTTTTAATATAACATATATTCATCTTTTAAAATTTAATTTTATTTTGTGTCTGCTACTAAAACATACTAGAAGGATCTTCAAATCCTCTGTTCCAGCTTTTTTAAAATAAAACAATAAATTTATTTTCTCTTCACATCATTATGACACTATCCTCTCATTTGTGAGTGGGTAACCTGCCCAGGATAACCACACAATTACCTTCAGGAGTTACTAGTGAGAAGTTAAAACTGTCTCTGGTTCTGAGCACAGGTTTGGAATCAGGCCATGTTTGCAGTAAGGTTTTGTACTTTCAATTCTGTTTTGTGAAATACAAATTGCAAACCTAATTCCTTAATTAAAATTTTCCTTTCAGGAAGGAAGAAAGCTGAGCTAGAACTGGACTGAATGAATTGACCATGTTCACAGAGAAATCTTGTTAAAGAGCAAAGGATAAAATTCAGGTCTCCTAGTAGCTAAGACTATCTATACTGAACTACCCAGTACTTCCCCCACTATACCATCAAGCCTCTGAAAATACCTTATCTTGATACCTTATCTATTTCTAGATTTCTTTATGTTTAACATTCCCATTGGTACAAATGCTAGTATATCTGGTAGTTTGAAGTCAGAAGTTAAAATTCCCTTTCTCTCCTCCTCACCTCCCCCCCCCCCCCCCCTTTTTTTTTAATTACACAGGGCATGGCCTCCTTAATACATTTACTTTAAAACACTAAATTTTAACGGACAGCTTATTTCTCCCTTTTTAAGAGGTGAGGAATAATAACAAATTGTTTCTCTGCTTTAACAGGATAACATTTTAGGCTCTGAACATACTCAATACCTCTTTAAAATCAGAATAATTAAATACTGAAAGAAATTTTCAGAGCGATACATAGAGCGTAAAATGCACAGACATTTCAGGAATTATCAACTGAACAATCCACAGCTTGGTTTGAAAACACACACGCCCACACACACACACCCCAAAACAGACATTTTGCTTTCTTTTGATCAAGAAGTCTTTGGCTTTTCCTTTCTACACTGCATAAATATTTAGTCAGCTTCAATAACTTCTTCCTTTTTAACTCCACATTTAAGCATTATTTGACTCAATTCCTTGCAAGTACAGAACAAGCTATGAACTAGCACTTCTTGTGAAAAAATGGCTGACAATGCCAAAGCAGTATTATAGGAGAGGATGCCTTGTAAGTATTAAAGGTATCTTATATATTTGAACAATCATTTCCTGCATAATTATAAAACATTAGAATGTATCTACAAACTTAAGTGCTCAGTGTTACAGAACTGCCATGGTCTCAGACACCAAGTGACGGTTAGTTAAACTGCAATGTGTCACTGGCCACACTTCTCCTATACACACTTCAAGCCTGAGGCAAATGTATAACTTAGCTCACCCACACTGGAAGAAAGGATAGGCTCAGCCACTTAACTAGTGGCTAAGAATAACACATAAGACTGAGCCCAGGAGGTGGTGATCAGTGAAATGAAGTTTATTTGGAAGCCAGCAACTAGTGGAGTATCCCAGAGACTGATACTGCACCTGATCCTGTTCAAAATCTTCATTAATGATTTGGATGATGGGGCAGAGTGTACTCTCAGCCAGTTTCCTGATGATGCTGAACTAGGAGGAGGAACTGATACACCAAAGGGCTGTGCTTCCATCCAGAGAGATCTCAACAGGCTGGAGGAATGAGCTGACAGGAACCTCACCAAAGGCTTGAACAAAGACTTAGAAGTGCAAAGTCCTGCACCTGGGAAGGAACAACCCCAGGCACCAGTACATGCTGAGGGCTCACTCTCTGGTAAGCAGCTTGGCAGAAAAGGAGCTGGGGGTCCTGATGGATACCAAGTTGAACAGGAGCCAGCAATGTGCCCTTGCTAGAAAGAGGCTAGTGGAATCCTGGGCTGCACAAGCAGGAGTGTCGCCAGCCGTCAAGGGAAGCAATCAATCCTTCCCCTCTGTTCAGCACCGGTGAGGCCACACCTGCAATACTAGGTCCAGTTCTGGGCTCCCCAGTACAAGAGAGACGTGGAGCTACTGGAGACAGTCCAACAAATGACCACTAGGATGAATAAGCAACTGGAGTACCTCTTTTATGAGGAAAGCCTGAGAGAGCTGGGATTCTTCTGCCTGGAGACAGAGAATTATCGGGGCAGGGTGGTGGGAGAACCTTATCAATGTGTACAAATACTTGAAGGGAGAGTGCAAAGAGGATGGAGCCAGGCTCTTTTCAGTGGTTCCCAGTGACAGGACCAGAGGCAATAGGTAGAAAGTGAAACACAAGAGGTTCCCTCTGGACACCAGGAAATCCTTTTTCACTGTGAGAGTGACCAAGCACTGGCAAAAGCTGCCCAGGGAGGTTGTGGAGTCTCCCTCAATGGAGATATTCAAAAGGCATCTAGACACAGACACAGCCTGCTCAAGGTGGTCCTGCTTGAGCAGGGGGGTTGGACCAGATGACCTGCAGAAGTCCCTTCCAACCTCAGTCATTCTGTGATTCTGTTACTACAGCTCAGCTGACATGAAGCAACATGTACACGCACTGTAATGCGAAGATGTCAGTCCTTCAGATCCCACCTTTCCACACGTTCCTGTCTAGCTAAGGAAAGGCTGGTCTATGCTTTGTATGTTTAACAGCTAGAATACAAGGACAACTTACAGAAAAAGTGATGGCAGAGTTGCCGCTGACTTTCCTTATCAGGCATGACAATACATGTAACAGTATTCATGTCCCTAAAAAAGACATTTTGTACTCTGAAATGTACCTATAAGAGAATTAGAACACTTGAAAAGCACAGAACTATCTTTCCCAGAGCATTTCCTTCATGAATATTACAATTTAAATCTTAGTCAAAGCATCCTTTCTGAATTTGGAAATTAAGGGAACCCAAGGTCACACAAAAGTAGCATTTGCAATCCACCAGCAAGATTCAATTTTCTGTATACATATTGCACTAGATCCAGTTCAAATAAGAAGTTATCATGTTGGAGTGCACTACTTACCTGAAACTAGCAGTATGCTTTATGGCTCGTATATACACAGTGATTGGATTACTTTTACTTACACAAAATGCTACTTATATGTCAGATCCTTATTCTGTTTTCCAATATTTACTTGAATAAGTTCTTGAAGGCAGAATTCTTGACACCTTATCTGTGTTTGTATTAATTCACAGGCAATGCAAGGAAGGGATCATAATACTTTGATAACACAATACCATCTCAAAACACCAACCATTACTCAGTCTCCTGTAACTGTTCTTGTTTCTTTCCCAAATACTAGTTTCAAATTTGTAAAAACACATACTATTTCATAACTACTGCAGATAGAAAGTTAGCATGCACTGAAATTGAAGTAACAGCTTCAACTCTCAGAATGATAAGTTTGTAGTGATTAATATCTTTATCCTCAACCTTTCCCTTCCCCCCCCTTCAAAACTAATTTGAACAAATGACTTAGGCAAAGTGAGTCAATCGTGAAAGATTTTATACTCCCCCTAAATGAACTCTTTTGTCTCAGATAACCTGCAATAATTACTTGTAAAGAAAAAAAGCTTGCTAAACGTATATGTTCTACAGTGACAAGCATTTGGTGTAATTAGGCAGATCTAATCCACAAAGGAAAAGCTGTAAGTAAGTAACCTGAAACAAGACTTAACAGACCAGTACTTTTAATTTGTTTTTTGGCTTAATGCTGATATGCAAGGAAGTACACCTGCAAATACAGTAGTCAGTAGTCAGACACTGCAGAACTGGGACTGCTTCCACTTCACACCATGACCACAGTTCACACCAGAACTCTGTACATCTCCACGAGCTGCTCAGACAGCTTACAGAGGCACAGGCAGCCCCTTTCAGTGCTAAGTATATACTGCAGCAAAACCAACACATTACATATGGAAATGTTTGCTCAGTCTAGTTTTCTGGTGACAGATTGTAATGAACACTGCAAGGCAGATCACTAGGAACGAGGAAATTAGTTCGCACTACAATGTGAATGTGTTTGCCACTTTAAAATAGTTCAAATAGGACAACGTTCACTAAAATGTTCTGATCCTATTTAACTGTATCAAAACAGAAATTATGGAAGAACATGGAAGCATTGGAATCACCTACAGAACTTAAAAAACCTAAGTCTCATTGATGTGCAGTGAGACAGACTACTATATGATGCCTCAGGTACTTGAGGTTCTACCCTTCCAGTTAGAAAAACAGTCAAAATTTCAGCTTCAGCTTGTCATTTCTGCCACTTGAGAACACATAACTGACCTGGTATGAGAATGCCAGTGCATGGCAGCTGATAGATGAATAGTAAAATGATAATAGATGAAAATATGAAAGGTTAATAAAAGGCACAAGTAGGCCATTGAAAGGAATCACCTACTGAGGAAATTAGGACATTAAAAAAAAAATCCAGTAGCAAAGCTGAATGCCAGTATCATTAAAAATAATTTACAAATTTGAGTGGCATCTGAGGTTTAATGCACAATGGAAAATACTTTTTGGCTATGTTTATTGCTCATCTAGTAGTCTTTGACTTGGTTTTTACAACAAAAATAACTTACATTTTGAGTTTGAATGGCAACCAGTTGTTGTAACAGTGGTTCGTATGGATAAATGATGCCAAATGAAAGACCTAGTGTTGTGTTCACCTGCCTGTGGTTAGAGGAGGGTAGGCTCAGCTACTCTAAACAAGAAGAACTCCTATTCATAACACTTGCAGACCACAACTTGCTGGCTCAGAGGAACAGGAGCTTTAGTTTCATAAGTAACTGCCTGCTTTCCTAACAGAAAATGAAACACAAGTCAAAGTAAGGCATGACAAAAGAAATTCTATTTTCGTTTAAAGCAAAAAACCAAGGAAAACACACACAGAGCACATGCACATTCACTCTATTTTACCTACCATAGATTCACTAATAAGCAGCAACAGTAAGGCTTCTTCTGTATTTTCTTGAGGACAAAAGATGCTGTTCAAACGAGAATTTAGTTATTTAAGCAGAGCACATTACTTTTAGGAGTAGCTTACACAAATATAGCAAAAGGACTGTAAAAACTGGAAAAATTCCAAAAAAGAGAACAGAGAGTAACTTGCACAGAAAAAATGATTGGTTAAAATGTATTTCTTTGCAATGCTCTAAATTTGCATTTCAGAAAAGTTGGCCAAACACAGTAAGAGAACAAAACCACCACAGCTGTCAAGAGTTGAACATATTTAAATATCCTAAAATTGCACATAATTTGACAACTGTAAAAACTGTATGATAGTTTAACTAGCCTGTGGCACCTAATCTATCTGAGCTGAATCTACACCACTGATTCAAAGTTTGTAAAAAATAAACTCTCTTAAAAGAACAAGATAACTCTTTAGGCAATATGTGGATAAATACTTCTGTTAGTCTTTCATCAAATATGCTTAAGAATTGTTTTCCTGATGCATTCAATAGCTGTGAATATTTTTAAATAGAGCCATGGCAATCTCTGCCTGCTTGCCATAGCCACTGTTACTTCCAAGCACAGAATCACAGAATGGTTTAGGTTGGGAGAGACCTTAAAGATCATCAAGTTCCAACCCCCTGCCATGAGCAGGGATATGCTATTAGAACAAGCAGTTATAATATTTGTTTTAATGAAGTACACTTCCTTATGACTTAACACTGAAGGTTTGCATAGGACTAGTTTGCAAATTTTACTGCTTTATCTGAATGCTATTCTGTGCTGGTGGATAGACAACAGTAATCTGCATAGGGTACATGACTGGTAGGAATTCATCCATTCATTCTCTCTCACACACATACAAGACCCCAAAAACCAGTGACTGTGTTTTAACTCTTCAGATTTCTTTCTCTAAACTCTTTCTGAATTAGCACAAGTACTATTTCCTGTTAATTCAGACCAATAGTCCCACAATTAACCGTTTAAATTTAGAAAATACTTTCTTGTTGTTAATAAGCAATTACTATAGCCCCAACGGTACTTAAATTACAATAAATTACAGACATGAAACAAAACTTGTCTGAGATTAAAACATCTTTGGAGGGTTGGTTTTTTTTTCAAATCTACTAGAAATTTAAGCAGTAATTAAAAGCCTGAAAGGAAATGGAAACTAAACGACATCTGAACTCCAAGTGGTCTGAAAGTAACATTGTGAACATATTGTGGTAATATACAGCAACTAAGACACTAGGGCAGTTGTTTTGTGGTTGGTTTATTTCTTTATTTTTTTAATCAATGCAAGTTGCTCATCAGATTTTGAAAAGTATTTTAAATCTTAGAAGACATTTTTATTTTTACATTAAAAAAAAATTTCAAAACACAGTTACTCATGAATAAGACCCACCCAGGACAGGGAATGAGGCGTGAAAAGGAAGCATCACAGAGCTCCCCATCTACCTATCCAGTCTTCAATGTAGAATTTAGCATCCTGGAAGGAGATTTAACCTGACCTACTGGCAGCGGTTTCCAGAAAGCAGAATGATGACTGGAAATAGTTGCTGGAGAAATTACTTTCTCAGAGAAAAAAGGGAAGTTGCCCCAGAGAGAACTACTAAAAAGTCACTTATCAAAACAAAAGCAAACGTTATTTTCTCCCACAACTTTGAATATATTCTGGTAAATAAGTTGATATTTGTCTCAAACAATGAAGATCCTCTTCACATAGAAATTACTAAGAAATTTATTTGACCTGTGTATGCAAAAATTTCAATTTAGTAGACTGAACTTGGACATTTTCTGTGTCTCCTGACAGATGCAGGCATATGAGTAAAGTAATTCCAAGGTAACAGGGCAGAGCAAAAGTGGCAACTGGAAGCATGAAATGGCTACTAACCAAAGGCAAACCAAGAAGTTTAACAGTTCTTCAACTGAGGATAAAGAAAACTGAAGAGGCAGTTAATGCAGAGATCTACAAAGTCATAAATGGTATTAGCCAAATCACATTCACCAACCTCAAAAGAACACAGTGCAGTTACATAATATATCAGGCAACATATTTATAAAAACCAGCACATCTCTGACTCAAACAGAGTTGGCATGCAGATGAATACCTAGGAAGAAGTTTCCTACATGTCTGTCTTGCTGTTCATTGTCTTAGGTACTTACTTTCAATCACTGGTGGAGATGAGATACTTGGCTAGACATATTTTATCTGATCTGGTATTAATCACACTGATGTGACGAAAGAGAAGGACTTAATTACTCTGTTGAAATTGAGGAACTCATTGCTTGCATGTCCCAAGAACAAGAAAATGACATTGAACAAAGCCCAGATTTTGCCAGGAGGCATGTTTCTACAAAGGGATGAGTTAAGAATGAAGAACATAAGTTTGAAAGACAGACCCTGAGAAACCTGCTATAAATATTCTGGCTCAAGGAAGGAAAATTGCTAGAAATCTTTTAAGACAAAGGTCATTCTACATGCTAGTAATAATGACACCACAATTATGTGGGCTTGCTGCTGTATAAAGCACTCATTAATGGACATCTGCAATAAATGCAGCTAAACAATGCAAATGTCTGCAGCGTGACTGTATTTTATGTTACAATACAAAGACACCATGAACACTAAACCAAAATTTCTCTTCAGAGTTTAAAGTAGGACTGCTCTTATAAGCAATCTACCACAGAAGACGACTCTTTTGCACATAACAAGGTCACACAATGGAAAAAAGCTTTCATATTAACTAATAAGGCATATATACTGTAAGAAAGGAGCAGGCTGTTCTTTAGTGTTTGCTGTGTGAAACCAAGTAGTCAGAGTGAGAAAATGTGTGACTCTGCAGGAAAGAGATTTCCTTGCGTTTGGGCAATAAATACGTATTTCTTAAATGCAGTGAGCATGGTGTATCCAGGTATTTTCTTTTTACCAAAAAGGTTGCCTGCATGCAGTTTGTTAATTATGTACTTGCAGAGAAACACAGTAGTTGTTTTGGCAAATGGAATGTTCAACTCTATGCCTGCACCTTTTCCTAAAGCTCAAAACACTGCTTTTTAATGACTACACATCCTAGACATATTCAGACAAGACTGAAATTAAAAAATCTCACAAGACCTGGGTTCTAATGCACCTGGACAACAATACAAAAAAAATTATTTGGAGAAAAAGCATGAAAAATTTCATATGGAACAGACAACAGTCTCCTCAAAAGAGATTCCCAGATCACATCGATTTCACAGAATCACAGAATGAGGTTGGAGAGGGTGTCTAGTACAGTCCCTCCATTCAAAACAAGGTCAGCTTGAAGGTTGCTCAAGACCATGTCCATGTGGATTTTAATATCTCCAGCAATATTGTCCAGACTCCACAACCTCTTCTGTATTTTTTTTTTCTTAAGTTTAAATGGAATTTCAATCTTCTCCATCTGCATTACTTAGCACTGTCCTACTATGGCAAATCACAATCTTGGCTAGACCATAATCCCCACTGCTACATTCTATTTCTCAGTTCTCTGGCTCACAGTGCTTTCCAGTATGTATCAAAACAAGCAAATAACAGCTGTCAAATAAAAAGATTTACAAAATACAAGCTCCCACAAGGACTGGCATGTAGAATACAAGTAGAGCAGTGCAAAGGTTGCAGATTATTTAAAACAAGAACACAGGGAAGTTTCATAAGATCAAACTTAGTACCAGTGAAATAAAAAATAAATTTAAAAAAGACAGTGCCAAATGGTTAGGATTTCACCAGTATGCTTTGACACAAACACGTTACTTTCAGGCAGTCAGCTACACCCAAAGACTGTAATAAAGTGCAAAATTTTGTCAATATATATTTTTGGCACTGTCAGAGTGTGTCAAAGGAAAATAACTTTACCTTAGAAACCATTTTTCATTTGATCAGATACAAACAAGCAGCAAGCTATTAACTTTTAAGAAAAAGTTCAAATTCAAAGAAATGGCTATCCACATTTAATACCAATACTAATGGTAACTGGTTTTAAAAAACCCCCACACATTTTCAAGAAGGAAAAGATACACACCAAAGCTACTCCAGAGCTAACCATGGAGTATGCTACACAGAAATGATCCACAGCATACCATTCACCTGAATGAGTGAAAGAATAAAATTCAACAAAAAGGTGGCATCATAGAAGAATGCCAAAACTAACTTAAGAAGATTAAAGGGTAACTGCCTTGGGAAATAAACTACCTTTGAAACTGCCAGATAAATTGCTAGATATGTTTTGGTTTTTTATAATGTTTTCTTTTGTATCCCAGGTATAATAAGAGATATTGTCTCTACCACATAACCCAGTAATGGAAAAAAAAAAATAATAAAAATTGAGAATTGAGAACAAAAGGTCTTGTGCACACAGTGCAAATTTCTGCTTGTAGAAACATGTCACTTCCTAGTTCACTTCAGGGAATACATATATATACACAGCATGGAAAACATTCCCATTCACATTGCCCAATTCCTTCTACGTTTTCAAAAATATAATCTATATTACCCAGTGCACTGGGTGACATTTGCAATTACAGAAACAAGAAAGATATAAACTCAGCCATACTTTTCTCCAGTGTATACCCGCGGTCTTCTACTGAGCGCGTAATTCTTAGTATTTGAACCTTTCCGGAGTGGATCATCTAGGGGTGATTGGTGAGGAGGATCTTCCAGTGGATTCCAATAACTCTGTTCACACATGCCTCGTAACAAAATTTCAGCCAATTGTCTTGCTATCGTCTGCAAAAGTGCAAGATAAGCATTTTCCTTAGAAATGCTAAATGCAAACTCTTCAAAAATGCTTGGGTTATTTCTAAAACTAGTCATGTAGAATATATTTTGTTATTTTAAAACATCCAAAAAAACAGACATACTGCTGTTTGGAAGGTACAAATACAGTTAATTCTCTAAACACAAAGGAAAAAAATGGCAACAGCAAACAATTTTTCAACTTTATCAGTTAAATCTAGATACTTCTGAAGTATCAACAACATCAACCGTTGCTCCTAAGAGTGGAGCACATCCACGTATATTTTCAGATATTTTGTGCTCAATAATCTCTACTCCTTCTCCAGGCCTGGAGCAGATGTTTCTGTGAGAAAGAGCACAGTGGAGCAGATGTCCACGCTGCAGCCTGCTGATAGTACCACAGTGGACCAGGGTGATATTCCCTGAAGGAACTGCAGCCCATGGGAGGGACCCCATGCTGGAGCAGAGGAAAAGTGTGAGGAGTAAGAAGCAGCAGAGAGGAACTGTTACGGACTCACCCTCTACCTTCCAAGCACCACTCAGAGAGTGGGAGGCTAGGGAGAGGAGATAGAAGAGTCAGGAATGAAGGACTCAATTTGAACCTGGGGAAAGGGGGTGAGGGGGAAGGTGTTTTGGTTTTTGTCTCACCATCCCACTCTCTTTTAATTGACAATAAATTAATTTCTGCCAAGTCAAGTCTATTTTGCCCATGGCAGTAACTGGTAAGCAAACTCCCTGCCTTTACCTCAACCCACAAGCTTTTCTATCTTATTTTCTCCCTGACGTGTTAAGGAAGGGGAGTGAGAGAGCAGCTGGGTGGGCATCTGCCAGCCAGCCAAGGTCAACCCACCACAGTCATAAACTAAACCCCAACTGACTGGGGCTTCTGACAACTTTCACTTGAACGTGTTGGTTAGGCTCAGCAGGAGTGAAACAAGGTTGTAGATCAGCATGGAAAAGTTTATTTTGACCAATTATTCTTGGTACCAAATATTTAAGTGTAGAAATACTTACATAAATATTATTTAAGTAAATAATATTAATTTAATGCTTTGAACTCATCCTATGATCCGTAACTATCAGGTTAATCTCCTCTTCAATGTTTAATATATATGCACACAAGCTGCATGACTATATATCATGATGATGAAAATTCAGAGATTAGTACCAGGGCAGTAGAAAGAACACAAAATCTATATTTGCATCAGAATTGGTAGTATTTCCCAGCAACAGATGTGTAATGTTTAAGCCACGGACACTACTATATGATATGCATCTTTCAGCTTAATTCCTACACCATAAGAAGCCCTTCATCTTTTATTCTATTAAAGTTTGCATTGAAAGTCTATTATTTAAAAATTTTAATATCATTACTAGGAATCAGTTATTAAATGAATTAAGGAAAAAAAATACCTTTCTTATTACCACTCTGGAAGTTTAGGAAAAGTACTAGGAAACTAATCTAGGACATTTTAAAAATCATTACATTAAAGCAAAAGATATGGGCCTTGGCTTTTGTTATATAAATGACGCAAAAAAATACATCACTTTTGGTAAAAGTTTATTTTTTGACAATATAAGTAACAAATCTTACTGATTTTGGTTTTATTGTTTTCCTTTAAGAGGCTTTATCACAAAAATAAAGAAATGATAACTTGGTAACTTCCAACTTCATAGAGCACATATAAAAATGCTGCACTCTGTCCTCACTCCCAATACATTACAAAATCAAGAATCAACACCCTTGTGAAACTATGTTAAGTTATAAATACAGCAATCATGATTAAGGTTGAAAGTATGGTCAGTCAGAGATCAATCAGGTTTTAACCATAGATACAAAAAGGAAAAAGAAATAGGGGAGACATTGCGTATCAAACATTCCTTTTTATTTTAATCATTCAAATAAGCCAAGAAATGTAACCTTATAAAGTGGTGGATAACAGACCCTGATCAGTATCTGATTATTTGTCTCTAACTCATACACTATATTTATGCTTTACCTGCCTACTAAAATTCAGATGCTGCAACAGGAATGTGGTTTAATATAACTTACCATTCGCAGATTTTGTGTAGTTCTTGTTTCAACAGCTCTTAGTAACTCTCTAAATCTACCAACACCTCTCGTCAAGTTCCTGTATATAAACATAAAATCTGATAGTATTCCAGCTTGGATGTAGTAACACATTAATACATTACTCAATAAAGTTGTTAAAATCCATGTTACCTTTTTTTTTCCCTGCATAGCACCATCACCTTTCTGTGAGACAGATATATATCCCTGCCACTGATTACTGTAACAACACTCCCTACCAGTTTATTGAAAAAAGAAACATTTTCGTGATCAGCAGACAGTTCAAGAGAAAGCAAGGAAAAGTGTAAGAAGTGACCACCCCAAAAAGGGAATGGTTTTAATTTTCAATTACATAACTTTGAAAAAAAAAAAATCCGAAACAAACCAACATCCCATTTTAGCTGCCTCTTGACACCTTAAAATAGGGAAATAAAAAAGGAGTAAATCTTGTAATCCTCAGTGAAAGTAGTGTAAAATTTTAAACTCCTTTTCAGAGAGGAAAGAAGACAAACACAGCAAGGCCTCCTGTGTGGTCATAAGAGGACTGGGGGATCAGTGTTCTGTTCTCAACTCCAGTTGACTTTTGGGGTAGCTCAAGTTTCTTCATCTATGCTTCTTCCACTTCTGCTGCCTAAATAGCTTTTGCAAAGAGATTCAAGATCCTCAGAGGAGGCATAGTTTATATGAACAATTTTAGCAGATCTGAACTTTCTTCTCAAACAATAGAATATTTTGAATGGTCTTGCAGCTTTATCTTTTCCTCATGTCTCTATCAGTTAACTCAGCTATCTGGCTTTTTTAATTGCATTTAAAAGCAGTCGAGAATATTTTATTTTGTATTAATACAGTTTGTCTTTGAACTGGTGAAGGATTGGGTTGGCTTTTTGCTGAGCTGAACAACTGAATTCTACAACCTCAACACATAACATAGCACAGGCATTTCAATATTTGAAATTTAGTTGCAAACAAAAGTATTTAATCAAAAGTGTGCTTTGTGTTAAGTCACTGCTGTTATGTCACACCGTTGTATTATCTTAAGATGTGATTTTTATGTGCAAGTTGCTTAACATTTACCTTACACAGGCTCAAGAGTGAAAGTATTAAGGTGTTGTGTAAGCTTTTTGTAGGTAAAAGCACTACTGCACTGCACTATAAAGCTGATGTTGAAATTGCCGTCCTTACTCTGATATCAAATTTATTTGAAATACTGATCTTCTGAATTGCTACTTTGTACAAATTCAAAAGCTCCACCATTTTTACACAGATACTTTCTTTAAGTTTAGTTTCAGAATATCTGAAACCAGAGTGTTTGATGCAAGAGATCTTGCTTTAGAACTGTAGATCTCTTACTGCTTTATCTAGAGATAAAATCATTTATTTTACTTTCCAGATTACATGACAGAGGACACTTTTGTTCTGTTTTATATAATAAAGTATTATCAGCATATTTCAGAAACTTTAGTCTCCAGCACAGACAAACATCTTTCACTAGCACAAGTTCACCTTCTAAAATACTTTTATATAAAAGCTCATTTAAAAAAACCTAGTATTTCCAAATAACAAAATCTGTATGAGCAGGTTGAAAGTTATATCAAAGTAAGTCACTAGCTGGTTAAAAAGAAATAATCACCACTCATACAAGAAATAATGACTGTTTGTAAAAGTTCCCATTACAGCAGAGCTTAACCATAGACTGACCAGTTAGTACATACTAAAGAAAATTAATCTTGTGTATACATCTAACATGGAAGCAACTGCATTAAAGATTATTTATGTATTTCACACAAGCAGGCCTCTTAATAGCTAATGACTATTACAACTTCTTCATATACTAATGAAGTACATAAAGCCAGTAGGCCAAATATTAAGAAAACCTCTGAACTCAAAATGGAAGCTGGATACCTTCAGCACCTTTGGAAAGCCAAAATACAGACCATTCAGTAATACCACATGCCAAATATTTTAGAGTCAAAACCAGACCACTGGAATCCCAGCTTTAAGTCCTCTGCTCTAAGTGCATATTTCCCATGAATGGAGCTTTCTCTCAAGAACCACATTGCAAAGTCACAGATCTGTCCTCTTAACAAGATTTAAGAAACCAAACAGACTTGTCAAAAAACTGAAACGTTCCCCACAAAATTGTCAAAAGAGCAAGAACTTGTCAGCTTGAAACACTAATTTCCCAGTACAGATGAAACATATACTATGCAGTAGAACTTCAAATCACAATAACTTAAATCTTTATGAAATTGTAGGAATTAGCATTTTTTTCCATACTAAGTTTATGTCTTTTGATGTCTTACAAGACCAAAAAATATACTCCATGAAAAAGTATGCAACTTTTAAAAGTCCTTAAGAACTTCATGACAGGTTGTTATTAGTTGCCTATGACATTTTTATAAGCATCTGCAAGGTACTGAAATTTGTGACTGAAGTTCTACTGTATAATGGAAAAAGCAGTAAGAATGTATAAGGGGAAAAAAACCTTAAAATACAGAATTAGTTTTTGCTTCATAAAGCATTTAACACTGATCCACTGCACAAGTGAACATCAGCACAATACAGATTTGTCAAGCAACTTCTACATGAAGTAATACTAAAAAAAATACACTTCAAAACTACAATCTAAATCACACAAAAATTGAGTTAAATGCTTTGAGAAACAAGTAATGAAGCAAAATATACCATGAACAATATGGTACATCTCCACAGTGCACTGCTTTTAGCAAAGTACATTTCCTGTATTTGTCAACAGTTTGTAACATTGGGGAGAAGAGGTGGTGGCTATTCTGGCACATACTTTTCCTGCACAGCCTAGGAAGCACACAACTTTTACCTGCTTTTCACTATGATGTGCCTTCACGTCAGCAGTTCCGCCAGCGCTGACTGAACGCCAGGGCAAAAGGGCAGGTTAACTTAGAAAACAATGTCCCACAGTGTCTGTAAATGACTTTGAGATCCCTTCCGTTCTCAAGACAAGGAATTTTAAGGTACATTAACATGCACCCAGAGCTGACCCTTTTTCAATAATTTCAGACAAGACAAAGATAGCCCACAGATAGACACTGCTAGTTACATATGTGTGTGTTTATATGACTGCCTCCCATCAGAACATGCTCGAGTCAAGTCCTACTAGTTTTTAAAGACTAATTAAAATGTTTGCTGCTTTAAATCTTCAATAAAAAACCACAACTACTTTGACTTTAAGTAGTCCTATACAAGTTAAAGACTGAGCAGAATTTAAAGATACAATCTACTACTGAAAGTCTATACAGATTGATGCTCTTACAGCTAATTCGCATCCTTGTGTCTACATATTTGCACCCTAAACCCCAACAATTTATGTTATAACCTAATTAATTATTCTGATGCAAGATCAACTTTTGCAGTTCTTTGAAAACCTTCAGGCAACATTTCTGTTTAGAATAAAGAAAATATTTTAACTGCATCTATGCAAAGGTGCTCACTCCTGAACAGAGAGATCAATAACTGTAGATATGATACAAGGAAAGTGCGGCACGAAAATCAGGGGACAGTATGGACAGAATTTCAATGCAGGATCAGAAGACTTGAATATAAACATGAAGGCCAGCAGTAGCAAACTTTTGGCACAAACATATTTGTCACCATCACCACCAAGAAGTCTCTTGGTTTTAAAAAGCATGTTTGGCATCAGACAACACAGGGTTTGGCATTAGTGGTCCAGACAAACCTCAAACCCCAGACCAATGCTTGTTATCTTTGTGTTTCTAAACACACACACATTAAAAAAAAAAAAAAAAAAAAGTAGAAAATTATGAAAGAAACTGCCCAGTGAGACCTAGTCTATATTTGAAAGATATTAGGATAAAAAAACCAAACACTATTCCTTAGAACAAAGGGAGCTAGATCTAATCTCAATATATGCAAAACAGGTTGAAAAAGAAATATTTTAAATTTAACCTCAGAAAGGTTGATAAGATTAATTTACTTCATATTTACAGCATATTTTGATAATTCTTCCCCATTAGTATGGGAATGGCTTTGTTTGACAGGCATTTCCCTTATGCTTATCAATTAAAACACTCAAATATTTAGTCTAACACTGCCTTTTACAGATTAAACATGGAATTAGAATAAATTTTTGCTTAGTGAGCTTAGACCAAACCTCACCTGCTCTGCAATTTGGTGACTAAACTGTCAGTACTTCTCTGACTTAAGAGAGAAAAGCATATACAGAGCCATGCCAGTGAACAGGCTGTTACTTACACTGGCCTATTACCTCATTGCTGAGGCTTACTATATCTCATTTGAAAAATATTCATGTTTTAAAAGGAGAAAACCAAGAACAATGAGATCTAGATTGCTTCATCGAAATGAAACAAATTACTTTTGGAATTGATCCAACTTCCCAAATACATGTTCTTTCTCCTACCTCTTTCTTTCTCACTATATTTATATACAAAAAAGAAATGCAATATTTGTAAGATCAGTGGTACATTGTAAGTTCTAAGGTTTGGGTTTTTCTCCCAAGAATTCAAATAGCAGCAAAAAGAAAGGTATTTGTTTGAAAGGGAAGGAGTAAAGGCAGGCAAAACTCTTGATACACATGCCAATCAGAACAGCAGCATTTCAGTGACTTTGGTATGACTGACATGTTTAAAAAAACTCCATAAAAATTATTTAAATCCATATGCTCTAGCTAATAACTTTCAGCCAATTAAAAGTAATTTACACAGTATTAAGACCAGAAATTGTTTTACATTGAATCAAGTTACTATGTAAGCAAAAAGCAAGAAATGTGACAATCAAGAGATTAACTCTTTATAGCAGTAACAGAACAATGTCCTAATACTGAGGCATGCCATTTATCATGCTAGAGCAATTGCTTTCTATAGCCCTACAAAGATGAGATTAAAAAAACCCCCCTGAAACTATGGCTTCCTGCAATAACTTTATTAAAGGTCTGACCAAATGGACAATGCTAAGTCTGCACAACTGATGATGCTTCAGATGGTTGTGACTAACGATTGTGTCCGTTTTCCCTCAGGTTTAAGGAGGGAGAAGGGAAGTACGATTTTATCCACAATTAGAAAAAATATGGATCTAATGCAATCCAAGTCACCTGAAGCAAA